ACAGAAAGTTGAAGAGAATATTTAGAGAGGACGCTGAAGACATAGGAGATTTTGTTTTGACTATGAGTTCCAGAGGCTACAACAAGAGTTTTGGAAGTTGGGGTGGGGAACAGGGAGATGGGGGAAAGCACCCAGCAATATGGGAAGAGAGCCTGGAGGATGAAATTGCCTAGGAAGCCTGCGCCTCTCATGGCGATGGCATGTCATGGTAATAAAGGCTTATGAGATTATATAAATATTGGGAGTGAGGCAGTGAGTTTTGAATTCGAAATTCCTGCTTGGAGATGCAGAACATATTCAATAAATGCTAACTGAAGTAAAGTATGAAAAGCAACCTAGTTTTAAAGACTCTCTCATTAGAATTGACGGGAGATCAGTTTCTACAACTCACTGTCAGTTCATTCATCTCTGTTCTTCACATGGATAGAAAAGGAATAGCAATCCTATTATTTGACAATTAACAGAAGATATACCAAGGGTGGAAATGGGATCGTAATATAAATTTTCTTATATTGGATCACTCCTGTAGTAAACCAGGAATAAATATTTTTAGATAAATTGCATAATTATTTTGTGACTAGTATATTACATTGTATTTTGTATTTGTGTGTGTTTTTTTACTTCTTCAACCAGCAAGTTCACATTATTCAATGTTATTTTCTTAACCATAAATATTAACAATATATACAACCATTTTCTATTATTACATTTCTTCACATTTCAATATATTGGAATTCTCAGAAAATGGCTTGGTAGGGAGGAGGGGAGTGGTCTCCTTTACCCTCCAAGAAGCCCTAGAGTGAAGTGTCTACAAAGCAAATCTTTCTTTTACTGATAATAACTACCTTTTATAATATCTCTTGAATACATTTTTGTGTTAAAAGATTTGCCCCCTTTTTAAGACAAAAGTAAGGAGAGGAAGGAAATAAAAGGCATATGGAGATCAACTCCCCATCGCATAGTACATATAATGGCAATAATCATGAGTCACATAATAAACATTGCACATAATAATACTCTGCAGAGAACTTTAAGGAGTTAAAAGTACAATTGTGAAAGGCAGTCCACTGACAGTGCTCCCACAACTATTTTCAGTCTGTGAATTCTTTCTTTCTGGTCCATGGTGAGATAAGTATGAAAATTTGAGAATGAACATTTAGAAACTGTTATAGGCATTTGACAAAGTAATTTTATGTCTGTTGAATCAAATAATAAAAGATTTGGGCTTGTACTATGTATGTCTGATTTTTTACTTCATTTTCTAGTAATTTATTTTCATTGTACTTTACAAAGGCAAAGAAAAACCTGTCCTTCACTGCACATGGTTTGAGAAGCATTGACAAAAGGTATTATTATTTCTAAAATTTTGCTTAAGAACCATTAAATTTCTAATATAAACTAGTTATATGTCATTATTTTAGAAACACTGTCTCATAACAAGTGTAAGGAGTTACCAGCATACAAATAAGTTTCAGAACAAGTTTGTTTTGTGTTGGGTAATTTGGTTATTTAAGAGTCAGAAACAATTTTCGTATGAGATTACATAAAACTGGGGTTAAATTCTTGGTGTGGCCTATAAACTCAGATTATATCAAAAGATTGCTAAGCTATACTATACGATTTAATAACTAATATGTACTATAAAAGTTAATAAACAGTTTTCTTCATCCTCTTATAATGGAGAAGAAAGGCTTCTGATTTCCAAATCAGAAAACTTCTCTCTTACCCATTCGCCTGTGAGAAATGGCAATTCCTAATACTAGAATGGTGGTGGGAGTAGGGGTTAGGAGGAGGCTACTTCTGCAGAAGTTTTTTCAACAGCAACACTCAGAAAGAGAAAGAGTATGGAGCTACTTTTCACAGAAAGTAATGAAGGAATTCAGAGATCAAGTTTGAGGAAACTCACTGGTCACGTTCACAAAATTAAATTGAGATGTCTCCAACATTCTCTGACACTGAGGTTAGGTAAGTTTTACTGGACTTGAAAGCCCACTGAAAGTTCATTACCACAAATGCCTCTGACGTAAACATTGTTCCCATTGGTGGCCCAACACCAAGATGGCAACTAAGCTTCATCCTGAATTGAGGTCTGTCAGTGGCTGCCTCAGGGATTTTATGTCCCTTTTGCTGTTGATTGAAAGATTGTGAGGACAAGCCTAGGTTTGGTGAGAAACACCTTTAGAATCAATTAATGATGTTTAACATAGGCAAAGGAAGAAGAGGGAGTCTGCCCAAGAGCTGTGCTTTGCTATCTTGAATGCATCCTAAAAGATACAGACCTTCAGTCCTTTAATTTCAGCTGAACCGGGCTGAATTATTAAGAATGCGACTTGAAAAACAACAACAACAACCACAACAAACTTGGAATAGCAAAAGAGAAATCGACACAGAGAATAGAGAATAGCACACAAGATAATCTTATTTACATTTAAGATTTCCTAATTTGTGGCTCATGTGGGAAGGCTTTGAAGTCTAGCTTCTGTCCTAAAGTCCAAGAGGCATAGTTTTATATTCTTGCCACTATCCAGAATCCTTAGGAAAAGATTCTCAGACCTAAGACAGATCTGGCAATAGTACCAGGCCCACTTTCTAAGTCTTCATTCTAAATTCCAATTTCATATGTGAGGTTCTTCTCTTCTTTAAAAATTGACACTAAAAATGTCCCTAGAGAAGAGATCCCACCCCTACATACTTGGGCATAGGGTAACTATGGCAGAATTCTTAACCAAAGTTGTCCATAGATAGAATTCTAGGGGTTTTATGACCTCTGATAAGAGAAAAATATTGATTTCAAATGGAATTTAGCATGTCCCTCAATGGAATTCAATGAAAGTAGAAAACAAACCTCAAGAACATTAGTAGTATTTGTGACTTTGTCACTAATAGAAATAGTTATTTTCATTATTTCATTACATTGTTGGAGGTGTCTTGAAATAACATATACATTTGAAACATCACTATTTGAAAGATGCTAAATCTTGTTTATTTAATGTGTTAATAATGTATCACACATTACATGACTGTATTACTACAGCACAAACTTTTAAAAGAATATTTTGATAATTGCATTTGAATATAATTGTCCTCCTTAGCAATCCTGTATGTTTTATTGTATGCATTTATAAATATTATTTTGAGAAGGTGTCTGGAGGGGCCTGTGACACAAGGACAACTATTTAGCCCTGTATCTACCGTCCGATATAATCTCATATCCCTTAGGACTGAATCTGAGATACACACATGCAGAAGTAGAATAGCATTTAAGCATAAAAGCAAACTTGTGTCTGCTTTTATGTACTGGTTGTTTATAAAACCGATATTTGTTGAAAATTGGCAATTGTGACCTTTCCTGCCTATATACTGCAAGATGTCAGTTAAATACTGGCAACCATGAGAAGCTTATTTCAGGCATACTCACTTAACTGTAACTGTCTCAATCTGATTGGGTAAGTTTCCCTTTTAAACTTTTTTCCTTTATTCAAGTTATGGTTGTTTCAAGAAAGAAAGAGAGAGAGAAGAAAGAAAGAAAGAAAGAAAGAAAGAAAGAAAGAAAGAAAGAAAGAAAGAAAGAAAGAAAGAAAGAAAGAAAGAAAAAGAAAGAAAGAAAGAAAGAAAAACACTGTTCTTATTTACATAAACTGAGTTTAGATCAAAAAGAACTGTCCACGTCCTTAGGTCTCTAGTCTAGATGAAGTATTACTAGAAATAGGATGTTTCTTTCCTCCCATCTAATTCCTGTTATAAAAGTAGTGATTCCAACATGAAATCCACAAGACATAACCCAGTATCCTTTCTCATAATAAAAATAATTTTGAAAACTTTATAAGTTTCTTTCTTACTCGAATATGGAGTAAAGACTGTCTTTGAAAATTAGGAAAATGAGAAAAGTATGTGAGGGGCCTAAGTTTCTTTTGGCAATGTTTGTTTGGGAAAGGAGGTGAAGGAATTTAGAGTTTCACTGTCCCGGAAAAAGTGTCTGGGGAAGTAGATTTGTGGTTGCAAATTCGGGCGGAGGGCGGAGCCGCCGCGTACCTAGTAGGCTGGGCGCCAGGCTGCCCGCGAGATGGGGCGGAGCGCGAGCCCGCGAGGCCAGAGCCTGACCCGGGCGCCACCCGCAGTGCTCCTCGGCCAGGCCCGAGCGAGGAGCACCGGCTCCCGCACCATGGGGCGGCTCGTGGGTCTGAGCTTGCTGGGGATAGCGCTGGCGCTGCTGGGCGAGAGGTTCCTGGTGCTCAGGTAGGTGGTGCCCTCTCGGACCGAGCTGTCGGCGCGCGGCCCGGCTGCCAGCCTCGGGGACGCCCTCCACCGGCGCCTCCCCGGCCTGCAGGTCCCCAGACTCAGGTGGCCGCGGGCTGCTGAGGGCGAAGGCCGTGGAGGGCTTCTCAGAGCCGGGGACTGTGGCGGGTGAGGAACTCCTGTTTGCTCTGTTCTCCAGCTGGCTGAACCCCTCATTTCACCTCCAGCTTCCAGCAAAACCCAGCAGTTTGGGCTGAATCTCGAGACTTGCTAGAAAGTTTATAACAAAGTTTATAACAAAGTTCTTTCCTACGTCAATTGACTAGCAAGTGCTTTTGCAAGTAGTCAGGGACAAACCCAGTGCTTTAACTTGAAAACAAAATGATTCCTCATGCGTCGAAACTTTAATTACAAAGATTTGTTTCAGGTCATTTGAGCTGCTTCTCTTTGTTGTGCAGACCAGCCTCCCTCCTTAATAAAGTTGTTCTCCATCTCCTCCCTGCATAGTTTGAGAAGCTCTCTAATCTTGGCGCTGGGATCAAAGATATTTGAGATATTCAGCTACTGTTCTTGCATCTCTTCTTTATTTGTCTCTGCACCCAGGAACCCTGAAGGCAGAATGCCAAACAGAACAAGCCTACTTCATCTCACATTTTACTTATAATGAAAAAACACGGATGGCTAGACGTCATAGTTCCTAAATTACCCCCTCAAATTTTATAAACCTCATGCAAAAGAATTCTGGAAATATCGAACACTTCCTATGTATGATGTGTTTTCCTAGGCTCCCCTAATAGGGCAAAGCACAGTCCTCACCCTTAAGGAGGTTACCTTAAATCAGAGTAGGAGAGAAATAAAACGTATAAATTTGATGTCTGGGGCAGGTACAACCAACCTCTACAGGATTAAAGAGGAAAGATTACATTACCTAAAGGTAGAGTTCAGGAGAAAGAGACATTGGACACTGGCCTTGAAGCATAGGTGAAACACATATGGGGACAAAGGAGGCCATCCCAGGTGGAGAGGGCAGCATGAGCAAAGGGAATAAGGTGGGGAAGTTTGGAGACTAGCAATAGGACGATTTGAGGGGAGGATAAAGTTAAGGTATGCAAATAGTAGGGGCGGGGAAAGGATGGAATTTTGAGAAGGTTAAATATGTTACAAAATTGGGGCCTGCTTCCATAGGCAAAGGAGAACCCTTGATGTTTGTTGTACATTTTTGTTTGTTTCTTTGTTTTAAATTGGAGTCTGTCGAACCATGTAAAGCGTGGTCAGTTGTGCTGTGCAGAGATGACCCGAAAGGGTGGATTGATATAGAGCGGTAGCGCTCAGTCCTGGCTGCACAGTAGGGTCTGCTGAGGCCTGGTGTCTGGACCATACCTCTAGACACTCTGCTTCAGTCGGTCTGGGTAGGGCTCAGGCTTGAGTATTTTTTATTTTTAAAAATTCTCCTGATAAGTCTAGTATGCAGTTAGAGTTGGGAAGTTCTGGAATAGAGAGCAAATTTAGACATGGAGGAAACTAGTTAAGTTATTGTAGTAGTTTGGAGAAAAGAACAGGCGCCCAAACTCCGGAAACCCAGAAATGAAGGGAGAAGTCATAGGTGATACCGGTTTTCGGCCCTACTGTCTAGTAGTTAGTTGTAGTTTCACCTGTAGATAAAGGATACAGGAGGAGGAGCAGTGTGTGTGTGTGCCGAAGGGTGCAGTGTGGTTAGAATTAGAGAAGGCATGCTTACAGATAGGAAATAGACATGTTGACCTATTTTCCATGTTATGTAAATGCCCAGTTCTCCTCTGAAGAACATTTTTGAGTTGGATGATTTTATATGATCTGACCAGCTGTCAGTTTCAAAGGCAAGATCACTAAAATTCACGAGCTCATTAAGTTGTCCCTGAACTTCAAATCACCAGTGTTTCTACAAGTTGAAGTTTTCTTAGTTAACAATTCTTTTTGTTATTAATCTTAAGGTTTTAAATTAAAGCCCTTTAAATGATCAATGTTATTTTTGCAAACCTAAGAAAAAGAAAATAAAGCTTATTTACACAGGATGCACCTGATAGGTAATTTACAGTTTAGTGCATCTTTTCTTTATAAGACTTGACTATAATATACTTTATTGAGCAGCGACTTTATAGGGTGGTAACTTCGTTGGATAGTTGAAGTCTCAAATCTGCGAATGTGAGACTGTTGAGATGAGTGATGGGTGGCTAGATTTAGCAAATAAAAATACAGGATGCCCAGGTAAATTTGCATTTCACATAAACAACGAATCAGTTTTTTTATTGTAAGCATATCCCATGCAATACCAGGGACATATTTACACTAGAATATCATTTATTATTTTTCTGAAATTCAAATTTAACTAGGCGTCTTGTATTTTATCTGGTGACCGTATGATTGCAGAACATCAAGTACCTACTTTTTACAGAGTTTGGTGGCACGCTCAAATGCACTGCATTTTTCCTTTCAGATCCTTAAAATCTATTTCGAAAAGCAGCATGTTCTCACTTTCCCTTAAGGAAAGGCTCTTCAAAAACTGTCTTTCTGTTTGTTTGTTTTTTGCTGTAATCTGGGGCCTTCTACTTCATTATTCTATTTTTTAGAGGTGGTACTTTGGCACTCAAGTTATTTCTCTCCCCCACGGTGTCCACTTAAATTTCAACTAAACATGAATAATTTTTTAGCATAAATATGTCCCAGATGGATAAATAGAATTAAACTTTTCCCAGCTTTGCGTGCCTAAGCACAGATTCTTAGTTACTAAGTGCAAGCATTACAGGGGGCCCCAGGGGTAAATTCCAAAGGGTTTTACAAGTCTGTATATAAAAGATAAAGCCCCTGTTTGTCTGTATTTAAGTCTGTATTTAAAAGATAAAGCCCCATCAGTGGCTTGTAAACTCAGAGGCAGTGAGATGTGGAACAAAGCAATGCCTGGTAGTAACAGACACTGTGCCGCAGTTTGCTCAAGATATGTTGATGCCACCGCCTGGAGCCCTCTTACTGTTGCCACCCACGGAGGCAAGATGGCAACCAACGGCCCCTGTCTCCTTCCACTCTGGATGGGTAGCGCTGTTTCCCAAGTGAAAGAAACGTTGATCGATTTAATGGCAATGACCACTGGCTCATGCTTTGTGGCCAGATAGCTTGAATTCATTTCTTAGCTCTCCTATATACCTTAGACCTTGGCTTTTTATTTCACCTTTCTGTGTCTCAGTGTCCTAAACTATAGGATTGGGATAATAATACTACCTGTTCCATAGTGGGACTGTGAAACATAAATGAAGTCATTCTTATAAAGTGCTAGAACAATGCCAGACACACAGTAGGTGTTCAGTAAAAGTTACCTGCAATGACAGTGATGTGCAAGCAGGAGTTCTTGGACTTTTTATGCCATAGATCCCTTTGGCAGTTTGGTGAAGACTTGACTCCTCAGCATCATGTTTGTAAATGCATAAAACAAAACACATAGGATTACAAAACAAACTTAAATACAATTTAAGTTATTACTAATTTAAATACTTGAATACTGTTGCTAAACTATTTTTAAAATCTAATGTATGATATAATAACATGGGCTTCTTTATTAAAGCCTTAAAGAGATCTAGAGGTAAGTGAATGTTTAACAGTAGATATTTTGAGATAGCAGTGAGTATAAATGGTATTCTGAAATATTTAAAACAACTGATATGTGATATAACAATGTCTTTATTTCTATTAATGACAGAGTTAAAGATGCTAATAATAGAAAGTTCTATGGTTTGTTGCCTACACTCATCATCAAAGGAAATACTCAATTTCTGTTAGAAGTTTATATTAAAAATGTATTTTTCCCCATTTAAGTTCATGGATCCCTTAGTTTTACCCACAGACTCCTTGAAGGTCACTGGACCTCAGATTAAGAACCCTGATGTACACCTTTTTGGTGGCCATCATTTGGGGAATGATTGCTGGCTAAGCTGAAGGTAGGCAGTGTATATTCTTTCCTGTATTATGCCTATCATGTACTTGTAACTAAAAGGAAAATAACCGAATGTTAATGAAAAATAAAAGTTAGAAAAACAAAACGATCCTAGAACAGAGAAGGCAAATAGCTTTCATCTTAAGTGTCCATTTTAATAGACTGGTAGCGTTTGCCTGGAACATTGTGTCTGAGGCTAGCTCCGGGTTACAGGGAAGCATGCTGTGATTGATTACAATATCTACATGACAGCAGAGTGGCAACAGCCATGCCATCTCTGACCTAGTCCATCATAAGCATGCGATGGACATATACTGTTAAGGGGCAAGGAGGCTGTAGCAAAAATATCACGTATTTGTATTTGTACCATTTATCTTTTTTTTTTCTTAGCATGAACGCATTTAAACTTATTGATTTGCTAGTCCAAAGAAGTTTGTATAGCTCTCTCTTGTATATTCTCCAAACTTCCTAGATCTATTATCATTTAGGAATGCTTTCAGCTGCAAGGACATACATCAAATTAATGGTAGCTTATACAAATAGGGGCTTATTTTTCTTACATGATTAAAGCTCTGTAGGTGAGTCATTTTAGAACTTGTCCATTGAGTTGATGATCACATCAAGGAATAGGTTCTTATATTTTTGTTCTTAGATCCTTTGCTTCATGACCTCATACTTGCCATGTTAAGGATGCTGACTAGTTATTGTAGTCCAAAGCACTGTATATGTGGTCAAATCATAAAGTAGGGAGAAAGAGTGATGGTATTTAGCTCTTTTCTTGTCTCTGCCTTTTCTTTCAGAAACAAAAATATCTTTCCCCAAAGCCTGGGTCATATGATTATCCCTAAATACAAAGGAGTCTGGGAAAGCAAATATTTGGCTTGCCCACCTCTGCAATGGAATGGTTCAAGGAAGGAAATGGGTGAGAATGGCTTTAGGTTTGTCAGCTGATAGGGTTTGCCATCCTGAAATCCAGAAGTCCATCAGAGAGTAGGGAACGAATAGTCCTGCCAGGCAAAAAAAACAAAAAACCTAGCAGTTTTCTACTGAAAGAATTTGAAGCTGTTGATGGGCCACAAAGGATGGAAGCAAAATCCTCTCTTTTATGAAGGAAAGACAAAAAAACAATATTTGATTAACTAGAAGTTATGCACAACCCTTATTTAACTTCAGTTTTAATAGCAATCAGTCTGCATATCTAGAAATGATATTGTACAATTACATCAAGATTGTTGACCTATTAGCAAAGCGTAATCATCAGTCACTTATGCAAACCTAGGTGGACTCTGAAAAATACCCCGTATTAAACTGTCCAAATACATCTGAATTTTATTTTATCCATATAGTTTATCTCTGGAAAAGGTAGATGATAATCATCATTATCACTGTTTTTGTATAGTCAAATGGGCATAATAGTAAGTTGCATAAAATTGACACCCAAACGAGTGATACGGAATCTTGACGAAAACTGCTGCTGTGACCTACTGACATAGCTACACCTTTTTCTGGAATCATATAATGTCTGCAGGACCTCAAAGGTCATCTGGTTCCATCTTTATTTCATGGATAAAGAAGATTGAGGCCTTTAGAGATGGACTGACTTGTTGACGGTCATGCAGTCTTATTGCTACAGTATCTACATCACTAATGTTACTGCTGCTGCTGCTGCAGCAACCTAAGTATACATGTTTTCCCTTGAAATCACTCCTGCAACTCGTAAATGTGAGAGAGAGTGTATGTTTTGTTGCTTTTTTTATATTTTATTTATTTAAAATTTTTATTCCATCTGTATATTTTCCATATTTATTTTATCCATTTATTTTTATTTTATTGCTTTATTGATGAATTGTTTCAAGAAATTTAAGTTCTTGAAATTTAAGTTTTTTAAGTTTTCTATTTGAGTTCTATGATTCCACATACATATGGATTGACACTTTAATTAGAACCTTTATGTACGATATGCATTGACAGCATATATAGTAGTTGCCACCACCTGTTGGTGATTCTGTGTAACCCAGGCCTAGGCTTTCTTCCATTTTGTTAAACCAGTAGGCTTCCTCATATTCAGTGTCTAGAAGTCAGAAGCTGTCAAGGATGTGAATAGGAGAGAGACAAGCGGCAAATTGTCCTTTGGTCTCTTAAATGACTGGATATGTGAACTACTTTGGAAAATGTAAACTACTCTGCGAGAACTATTATTATTTTTGAGTGTAGAGAACAGAAAGAGAAGGTGAGACAATGAGAGAAGAAAGGCGAAGCCTATAGTATGTGGCCTTCAAAACAATAGATCCCACATGCCTTTGCCCAAACACATCTCTGTGGCCCTCTACTCTAGGGTAGGAAGAAAGGGGGAAGATATTACTAGAGCTCAACATTTTCTCACTGTTTCTCCACCTTGGTTTTTGTGACACAGCCATAGCGAGTAGTTTTGCTAAAGTGGGCGGCGCTTTATCACCCTAGTAAATATTGTCTTGGAGATGGGACCTTCTCCACTTATTTCTTAACTTATTTCTTAATAACTATTTGTGGAGTGTCTTCTGTGGCTCTGAACAATGCCGTTTTCTGTTGGTCCCCTTCAGTCACTATGTCATCTTGCAGAAGGCTGAGCATTTCTCAGCTCCCCTGGGTCCTCAGAAGTGAGACAGGGCTCCTGGTTCTGCATCTGGAGCTCTTCCCATAACACTAGAGCTGCGAGAAACGTGACCTGGTTCCAGGTTTATATTTGCATAGGAACCTGCATTAGAAGTTTTATTCGTTGAGTTATTGATTTTCTTTTACAACCCATGTTCACCTGAAGACTTTGTGGTATATATTTTTATTTTAACTTCATTTATGTGCTGTTTATATTCCTACTTTTGTCTTTCTATCTTCTCTTTGCTTTAGATTTATGCTATATTTTCTGTGTGGCTAATAAGCCTATTTAGACCCTTCCTGCAACAAAGCAGGGAATGCATAAACAGATAATTTTTTTTTTTTTTAACAGGAATCGATTGAAAGCCTCCAGAGAAGTGGAATCTGTAGACCTTCTAAACTGCCACCTGATTAAAGGCATCGGTAAGCATGAGAAAATGCTCCTTATACACCTTATATTTTTTGGCCGCCAATGCTCAAAAACTAATTTATAGTACTTTGGCATGCAGTTACTGTTTATTGAGGGAAAAATCACATTAGAGCAACGAAATCTCTCAACCAACTTCTTCTGATCTTGTGCACCCTGTATTTCTTCTCTTTTACTCTTACTGCACTTTATTAATTATTTGTATAATCCTATGTTTATTGTTTTATTTCTTACTTGCTTAATGACTTTTCTAAATTGTTTTTGTAAAGTCTGTATTCTTCGTCATATGTGGCCACCGAGATCTGTGTCTCATTAGCTTAGTTGTCAGCTAGTGATGGTAAGACAGAAGGAAAAGAAGTTGTAAAATGGAAAATAAAATTTTCTCAACAAAATCTCTATCCCCTACAGAAATAACCTGAGGTGAAGTGTCTTTTTTATCCTTCCTGATATTTCCAATGCAAATACAAAACAAAACAAAACAAAACAAAAAACAAACAAAAAAACCAGGTATACCTCAGAGATATTTGTAAAAAATAATAAAACGAGGTATCCTATATATGCATATACATCCACATCTATTTTTTCACAAGTGGTAACTTAGTATATATAAGATTATATTCAGCAACCTGCTTGATTCTGAATGCAGTGTAAACAGCATTCCACATCAGCACATGTAGGTGTACCTCATTCTTTTTAGTATTAGCACATACCATGATTTATTTAACTAATTTCCTCTTAATGCACATTTGGGTGTTTACAGTTTTTTGCAAGTACAAACAAAGGAGTGAACATTGTAGTACATATAGCTCTTGTATTTGTCTGTAGGATAAACCCTTAACGATGAGATCGTTAGCACATATGTTTAAAGTTTTGATAGTCGTTGCTATATTGCCCTCAAATTGGCGCCACACATAAACCGAATACGTCATTCTCTCCAGATGGGGTTCACAGTGCTCTTTTAGCAAAAACAAAGTAGTGATCCTTCTTGATCACACACAAGAAGATTTCACTTTCATGAACCCTATCAGTTTTCAGAAGAGCCTTTTCCACTTCAAAGTTTCTTTCCGGTTCTGTAGCTGCCTCTCCTTCTTTACACATCTGTTTCCTAGGCTCTCTGTCTCTTTTTTTACTGTTACTACTTTTCTACTTCTCCCAGTCCTGTCTCCTTTCACCTGGACTCCTTGGCCTCTTCTTTCTGCAGCTTCTCTTTGTTTCAGTTGCCCAAACATTTGTCAGGAAGATACAAACTCAGTATCAAATACCAGACTGACTAGAGATGTGACAGATAACACAGACAATTCAAGGACTAACGTCTGGAATCCCAAGAAGCTCAGCCATGCATCCTGCCTTCTGGCTGCCGTCGCAAAAAGTCCCCTCAGAATTGGTCACTAAACAAAAGCCAGCTGGCATCCGGGTGGGGGGGATGTTGTACAAGATCGAGAGGTTGAGTCAGTGATCTCTAAGGTTACTTTTGCTACTGAGTTAATAATTGTCAAATTATTAAGCAGCCCTTGGCCTTGTGAAGCCTACCTTCTGTGAATTCAAACCTCAGAGTAGACAATAGGGCACAGCCTGGCACATTACAGGACAGACTGCCAAATGTATTACTGTTACAACTTACTGGGATGAAGGGCTCCTGGGAGAAAAACAAGCCCAACAACATTTGTATTCTGAACAAGCGTCTGTCTGTATTTGTGACCTTTATGTTGTGACGTGTGTGAGCTGCTGTCTGGAATTGGAAAGAATGAGGAAATATGTCACCTATGGCCCCTTTTGTAAAGTGTTTAATGCCTCTGAGGCACTTCAAAAGGCAACAGAGCGAAGGCGATGAGTGATTAGAAGCACATTTGGGATACATTTTTAGATCTAATTAGAATTGTGCCTTTTTTTCTTTCTTTTTTTCTTCTGCTCTGTGGTTAGCACACGCTATACGAACATTTGTTGCATGCTATGTTATTGATGCATAATGGTTAATAATAGCTTGTGGTTATATGTTTTTAACAACAGTTGCTTATTCAGTGGTCTTTGATTACAAGGAATAACAGTGGGCTGGGCATACTTTCTCTTATAGGCAAAAACAACTTCTTATGATATGCAGCAAGAGTAGAGAGGGTCTCATTTTTAATTTCCACTTTGAAAAGAGTAGTAGCCATGTACTCGAGGTCAAGGAATCCCTCCAAGAGGTAAGACCACTTTCCCTTCCCCTCCACTTCACACACACACACACACACACACACACTGCAATGCCACATTTACCATGACTGAAAACGAACTCTTTGCAACTCTTGGGTGCTTTATGCATATCATATCGTCTTATGTATTTCTGTTTTAATGATAATAATCATCTACCACATATCATACAGGATATGTACCTTCTGTGGGACAGAAAGTAAGTTCACTATTTATTCCATTTTCGTGTTTCTTCTCAGTCTGTTTTATAGACAAAAACTAAACTTTTACGCACCCAAGATTTGGAATAATTTCAATATCTAAATAATAAAAATTATAATGACAAGAGCTAGTTAGCTTTATTTGAGACTTAAAAGTTTAAAACATTTTCTAAATGTCTTTGAAAATGCTGGCATTCAGAGTCCTGAACTAAAACAAAGTTTTGAATGTGTTGTCTCTTTTGAGTTTATTAACAACTTTATATACTTGGCAATCAAGATCTTTATAATAACTGCTGCTTGGGAGGTTTTCAAAAACACCATTAAAGTTTGAAGCCCTTGTAATGAAGTACTTTACAATCTATGAGTAGGGAGAAAAAAAACCCACTGCTGTGAAACAGGTATCTTTTTTCTTTTTTCTTTTTTCTTTTTATAAGAGATAAGGACCCAAGGCTTGGAGAAGTTAAGTAACTTTTGCAGTTCTCTTCCCTATATAGTATCATCTCCCAGAGTGATTAACACACATACCTGACTAGCGAACAAAAAAAAGTAGAAAATAATAGGCTACATTACATATCGGATACTCTATTAAGTATGGTAAAGACTGATTTGCTGTTATGACATTATAGTAAATAATTTAGAGAAGAGATAAGTTTATTTCCTCTTACATGACAGTCCAAAGACAAGCAAATGGCCTAGAGTGATTAGATGCTTGTGTTCTAGGTGGTCATTCTGGAACAAAGAGCTGAGGCAGCAACACAACTCTCTGCAACATATTGCTTCCATCTTGGTCCAGGACGAGAACTCCAGTTGTTGCCATCTCCCAGGAGGAAGGAGTAGAAAGAAAACTTACATGAATATTATTTTTATTTTATTTTACCTAGTAGTTGTATCTATCCTGTACCGTCACATCCCATTAACATAAACTTAGTCAAATGACCACATCTACCAGTAAGAAAGGGTAGGAAATGTCTGTAGCTATGTTGCCATGAGCCTGTAGCCGAAAAGGAAGAAGGGGACTATGGAGGCTGGGGACCAGTTGGCCATCTCTGACCCAGATAGATCATTGCTAAAGGAATAAGAAGGGATTGAAATCAGATGTGCTAAGCTAGAAGACTTTCTAGAGAAAGGGGGTTTTGAAAGAGGTTCTGAAGGAAAGTACAGGATATGAATCAGTGAAGATCTTGGTGAGAAGCATGGAAGCAAACATTTTGGGGGGAAAGCCAACATATGGAATTGACTGCAGTTGCATTTACAGAGTGAAGTGTCTTTAGAGGAACCAGAGGATGGTTCTGACAGAAAATTCATTAGATGCTAAGTTGTATTTTTTTTCTATGCACTTTTAAGTCAGAACAAAAGGACTCAAGTCCCAGCTTTCCAGGCCGTGACCTTGAAATATTGGCTTAAACTTTCATAGTCTCCATATTCTTTACTCTAAAATAAGAGATAATGGCATTGCTTCCTAGGGTTATGAAAGTTATTTGAAATAATGCATATAAAGTAGTTACAAGGAGTAGTTACAAGGTGCTTGGTAAACAATATGTGTTAGTAGCTGCTACTACTACTACTACCACTACAACTACTACTACTACTTCTACTACTACTACTATTTTTATTATTGGAGAAAAAATTTCTCCAGTATTGACTCCCCTTGCAGTCATCACAACAAAGAGGTGATATAAGATGATAAAAGCCTACCGTAGTAATGGTCATAGAAATGAAGATGGGAGATTAGGCTTGGAAAATAGTCTAAAGATAGCTACAGATAAAATGTATTTATTTTTTTCTTGGTATTAGGTAATAGGATTAAACAGAAAGAAGTTACCATGTAGTTGAAATGAAAATATCTTTTAAAAATATTGTTCTTTTTGATTATTAAAACAATACTATTTGTGGAACATTTTAAATAAAGAAAAATATAAAGAAGAAAATGAAAATCACTCATAATCCTACCATCTAAAGAAACATTGTTAATTTTTTCCTATATATCTTTTTTTCTATGTGTGTAAGCATGTACACATTGAAGTTAAATTATCTGAAATAATTTTTCAGGAACAACAAATTTTAATTAATTGAGCTCCTACTAAATGGATCCTGAAAGTAAAACTTGGGCTAGAGTGTGTGTGTGTGTATGTGTGTGTGTGTGTGTGTGTGTGTGTGTGTGTGTTTGTGTGTGTGTGGGGTGTAGAGTTCCCCTGGTCCCTGCTCATTACCAGTTGAGAACCGCTATGGGACTAGAGTCTAGCGGTTCTTATCCTTTTGGGGTATAGTATCACAGACCCTTTTTTTGAATCCGCTGAGAGTTCAGGTCCCTTTTCACAGAAAATTTCTCATATATACATACAGAAGACATTGCATGGAATTTCAAAAGTTTCATAGACTCTTTGAAACCCATTTTCTTTCCTTAGGGATCCACAGACCCCAGGTTAAAAGCTCTTCCACTATACCATGCTTAAGCTGATATATATCTCCTTTCAGGCAGATGGGTCATCTTTACAAAGTGAAGTTGTTGGCATTTTTATTTTCTTTTACTTTTCTCCACTACAGTAGAGCCAGCAACACTGAAGGCAACCAGCCAAATACGAACTCATGAATCAAAACCAAAATGGCTGTATAGATACTGTTTGTTTTTGACAAACTAGAAATAATCTTGGCGAAATCCTTTGGAGAAGTCTTGCAGGGGGACGATTGAATTTGGTAGAGTCAAAGAATGTGTCATGATTTGGCTTAATCTAAGCCATTTTTATTCCTCCTTTCTTGTGTTTGGGTTTATTATCTGTCTGCAGAATTTACACAGTGAGGCCCCTGGGAAGGTCTTATGTCTAATTATTTGCTGTGCCGTGTAGAGGGTACTGCAGACAATCAATAAACAATCAATAGAAATAGTAGCCTGCCTCAGAGACAAGGGTTAAAAGCTTCAACTGGCTTAGGTGCACGGTATTTTGTCATTAATTTTCTTTTGCTAGGTTTTTTGCCCTGTAATTTAAAGCTTAAATTTAAAGATTAAACAGAAAACTTTCTTTGCTTATGAGAACAAGCAGTCATTGTTTTTTAAAGAGGGACTATGTAATCCCAGGTGTTTTTCTCTGTTAATGAGAGAGATGGCTGTGTTTGCTTCAGATTGAATGAGCAGAGAAAGGGACAAGGCTATTTGCATGGTTAACTGACTATGAGCCCTTCATTCTGAAAGTAATATTCCCCTGGTGTCAATTACTTTTGTACAGACATCTGGATGTTTATCATAAGAGTGTACAGATGTCAACTTTTTCTGTATTATTGCTGGAAATGTGGTGATTACTTGACTTTGATATGAGTAAACATAAAATATCTAACATTTAAAGTCAAAAGTTCACTGCAGGAAGGGATTTAGACTGACGTTTATTGAAGAGAGTAGTTTCTTGGAAAAAAATCAGAACCATTCCTAAAGATACAGACACTGATAAAGTAAACAAAATCCTAGTTATGCTCTATTTAACAAATAAAATTTGAACATGACATTTATCTATTTCCTGAATTTGCAGAAGCTGGCTCTGAAGATATTGACATACTTCCCAATGGTCTGGCTTTCTTTAGTGTGGTGAGTACTTCTTCCTTTCCCAGCCTCAGTGGAGGAGGTACAAGGGAATTTGACAAGGCCTGCAGAGCAGTAACTTTTAAAATTTTTCACTTTCAAAAATGTGTTCTGAAAAAAGACAGGTCAAACAGGACCTTAGAAAATTTCCTCAAACTTAGATAAATGTAGAGATGAAAAAGTTTTTGCCAATTGATTTATTGCTTTTTATGACCCCACTGCATGGTACTAAAATATTCTGATGCAATCTGTGTTTTAAAAGTTTGTTATTGAAAAAGATATTTTGAGCATTATCGTGAATATTTGCTTCTACATTATACTATTTTAAATACAACATCTATTATACTATTTGCTTCTACATTATACTATTTTAAATACAACATCTACCTTTTTTTCCATCAGATATTCAATTTTGAGCTAATATTCTTGCCATTATTTGTTTTCAAACAATATACCAATACTTTCCCAGACAAGGCCAATGCTTTTTCTTTCTTTCTTTCCCCTCTGAATAGCCTATCGTAAGTGGAAAGTCATCAGCTGAGTTTATTTATACCCTTCACTTGTTCCTTAATTCTTATAAACTGGAAAATAATAACCTTTCTAGGCTTACATTAGAAAAACTTTGAAGTTGACTAACTTGCGTGATGCCGGCCTACACCAATATCCACTGTAATTGGAAAACTGTAAATGGGCTAATGAGGAAGTTCTGACCACCCTCCTTCCCTGGCTTGGGCCAAGGTGAGGGTCCTCAGTGTCTTCATGGGTTTGATTTTTCTTGAGGAAGAAGTATCGAACTTTGAAGGCTGCCTGTAATTATCCTGTTTCCTCTCAGCATCCATTACTTTCAAGCTCTGAGACTCAGGAGGGATCTGAAAAAGTTGGAGATGCTTTAGAAGAGAGTCGCAACACTAATAAAATAGTTGTCAGACTTATGAGAAAGGTGAGAGAACTCAGCTTAGATGAGAATGAGAGTTAGATCACTCTGCAGGCTCCTGATGGTTTTTATATGAAAGACTGTGAGCAGCTGGTTGTTACCACCAAGGTAAAAAACAAATACTGTGGGCTTTGGCAGAAACACCAATATCTATATTAAATTTTTAAAAATACAGTTTAAACAAGTTTCATTTACCTACACAGAATGAGTAAAATTATATTTCTAGAAGGACTCTGAGTTTGCTTAGAAGCACATGCTTGTATATGTCTATAGGCTGAGGAAAAAATGTTAGGAATAATAGTCAAAAATATTCATAACTAGATACGCAAAAATCCTTAGTAAAATTGAAGGCAGTTGCTTTTTTATTTTCATTTTAATTTTTTTCAAAGGAGGTGTTCTCAGAGATTTGTGTAATCCAGAACTCACCTGTTTTAAGATTTTTTTCCTTATCGGAATAAATCTGAATTAGGAGGAGGTCTCCAAGCACATAAACGTATAGCCATTTCAGCTGAGGGGCATATTACCATCAAAGTGATTTTTAGCATGTTACAGAATTTCTTCTGTTTTTTTTTTTTTTTTTAATGTATCCTTTCTTGGTTATATGACTTTCTTTTCCTTTGTCAAATTTAAAAACAATCCCACTTTACTGCTGTTTTGTAATTTCTCAGTATTGTCTCTAATATTGCCCAGAATACTCTCCTTTCTAAATGAATAACTCTTACGTCATGGCAGTTGTTTGTTCTTCTTACAATAATTTTAGTCCATCCAACCCATCCTGTACCATAGTTATGACTTTGACAGTCACCTCAAAACTAACATCACACTTAATGAGGAATTGGATGACATAGAAATACTGAACTATACACTTAAAAATGGCGAAGATGGTAAATTTTGTTATGTGTATTTTACTGCAAGTAAAAATAAAATAAAATTTAAAAAAAGAGAAAAAAACAGTTTGATTTGAATGATAGGGAGAATTAAAATAACCGTGAATAGTTATCACCATCCCTGATAGGGCTATCTGTGCATGGAAACCATGCTATTATTTATGGGGTATTGATAAAGAATAGAGATTATTAACCACTGAAGTGGCACCGCCATGAGCAATAGCATAATTCTAGTTTATTCTACTTACTGGGCCTGCCATCCTTAATGTTATGTAATTTGATAGATTTTTTTTTTTTTTAATTGGAGAGAATTTCTGTTGTGTCCAGCTCTGTGCATAAAGTGAGACTTTTTGTACTATTAAATCTGCATAAAGTATGACTTGCAAGATTTAAAAGAGAAAGTCCTAGATTATTTCAGTGAGTGCCAAAAAGCATTAAATAAAATTCAATACTCATTCCTGATTAAAAGCTCCAAGAAAACTAGAAATAGAAGGAAACTTGCCAGAAACCTACAGCAAACATCATTCTTAGTGGTGAAACAGCTGCCTTCCCATTAATGTTTAGAAAAGGAAGAAAATGCCCCGAACACTATAGCCATCAGTAATCTACTAGAGTTCTTAATAATCCATAAAATGAGAAAGAGAAATATGAAGTAGAAAAGAAGAAAAAACTGCCATTATTTTCAGACAGTGCAATTACCTGTTTTTTAGACAGTCCAAGAGATCATTTGAACTAACAGGCTATTAGACTTACGAGGAGAATTCAGTGCAATGGTTGGATTCAATATGTACATATAAAACTCAGTGGCTTTCCCATGCACTAGGAAAAACCAAATAGAAAATGTACTAGTAATAATATTATTATTAATAATAAAAATTCCATTGAGAACATCAACTTAATTTCCAAAATTTACACAGAAATATAAATGAGCAGAAACATTTAAGACTATTGTATAAAGGTAAAGCAATGAGTATGGGTATGGGGACTTGTGAGAGATAGATAGATAGATAGATAGATAGATAGATAGATAGATAGATCGATCGATCTATATAAATATATATATAGATAGATAGATAGATAGGTAGATACACACATATTCACACATACATACCTATATCTAGCTAGCTATCTATAACTCATATTTTATAAATAAAGCTGTAGTAATTAAAAAATGGCATATTGGCACAAGACTAGACATGAGTCCCCAAACAGACCAATATGTAGACAAGGATCTAGTACATGATAAAGGTGAGATTTGGAATCAGTGGGGAAAGGACAGACTATATGCCATTCACTGATCCAGGTCCTGGGAGTGGAGAGTGACAGCTGTGGTGAGGGTGGAGTCAGGCTGCCATTAATATATGCATAAGTATGTATATATGACAAATGTCACTAAGTGACATTTGGCACAGATTTAAAGAAATTAAGGGAAGGAACCCAAATCTCTGGGGAGAAAGCACTCCTAGCCAGAGGGAAAAGTGTGTATAACGGCCCCAAAGTGGAATGTGCTTGGTTTGTTTGACTGACATCTAAGAAGCCACTATAGTCAAAGCAGCACGAGTGAGGATGAGAGAAATAGGAGATAAGGGCACGGAGATGGAGTTTTCGGAGTGGGAGCGGTGAAGGAGGGTGAGCAGGGCAGAACATATAGGGCCTTTAGACTATCACAGGAATTTTTACTTTTAATCTGAGTGAGATAGGAGTTTTGATCAGAGGCGTGACATCTGACAAAATTTGGATACTCATACGAGACTGGATTTCTGTAGGGAGTTAAGGACAGAGGCAGAAAGGCCAGTTAGGAGGCTATTGCCATCATCGTGGTGATGATTTGGACCAGGGCAGTCAGGAAGGAAGTGGTGAAAGATGTTCACATCCTTATGAAGGGATATATTTTTGAGGTAAAGTCAACAGGATTTGCAGATGGATTATCCGGATATGGGGTGTGAGACAAGGAGAGGAGTCTTGACTGACTCCATTCACCAAGACTTCTGGCTTTGTAGAAGCAAAGTGCAGGCTGTAGGCTTGAGGGTCAACAGTCCGTTATAAACTTTCACTTGTCCCTGCCCTCAACTCTACTTGGTATCTCCGAGTCCACCAACTTTCTAGTTACCCTCTGAAGAGACACCACTAGTCTTTTGCCTCAACTCAGAAAAAGCATTTATTATTCGTCTTTCAGCTTTTCAGCTCCCAATTATTAATTTTTCTATTGTCTCCTCTCCGCTCTCATTGTGTTTGTAGCTTTATGCCACCACTTTTAACCATAGTCTTTATTTGTCATTTATTTATAGTTCCCACTTTAGTCCATAAGAATACTTAAGCTTTTATTTTTAACTTTTTCCTCTGTTTTGACAAGGGTCTAAAATATCCAGGACTCCACAGTTTTGCACCGGATAATCCTGGCGGAATACTAATGATGGATCTAAAAGATGAAAACCCGAGGGCATTGGAATTAAGAATCAGCCGTGGGTTTAATTTAGCTTCATTTAATCCACATGGTATCAGCACTTTCATAGACAGCGGTAAGAGCTGATGAGCCAACATTAAGAAACTTATAATAATGGTTTTTAAGTGCCTGAGCTATATTTCTGAATACAGTGGAAATTTTTAAATTCGAAGAAGAAAATAGATTCAGATCATACCTATCCTAGGAGAAGAACAATTAACTCATGAATTATTTCTGTATTCTTCATACAAATAAGTTGATCATTTGCCTGTTCAGCCAACAGTAAGTTATGCTCCCTTTGAAATTTCTAATAGTTAACACTTGAAAGAACATTTAGCTTTCATAACCTTTTCATAGACCTATGACCATTGCATTAAAAAAAGAGCTATATTTCTGAATTAAACTATAAACATATTATTCATGAATTCTGTATGTGGAGTGGGAAACATTCTTTTTTAAAGGTCAGGGGACCAATGATTAGAAATAACACCAGACAAACAGTGATGAGAAAGACAGGGAAGAAGGATGATCCGTTAGGTCGTCTAACAGCTTAGACATTCAACCTTTCCTTGCCCATGGTATTTAAATGTCAGTCTGCCCAGAGGTCCTATGGTTATGTCTTGTAAATTAACTCTGTTCTTTCAATTTTTTAGATGACACAGTTTATCTCTTTGTTGTAAACCACCCAGAATTCAAGAATACAGTGGAAATTTTTAAATTCGAAGAAGAAGAAAATTCTCTTTTGCATCTAAAAACAATCAAGCATGAACTTCTTCCAAGGTACTTAGGCCTTTTGTTCACTCTCCATTTTATCGCTAGCATTTTCAGATTTTCCCCATGGTGGTCCCTTCACCTTTTAGGAGAGTTAACACACATATTTGCGTGTGTGTGTGTGTGTGTGTGTGTGTGTGTGTGTGTGTGTGTATAGTTTCCTTGTAAAGCAGGGAAAGTCAGTGTCCCTCATTAAATAATTCGTGTTCTCTGCGGACTCCCTTGAGAAATGATGAAACGCTGGACTACAGGGGAGCTGCTCTTCAGGGCCATCTGGGAGTAAAAGACAAACCTCACCATTTTTCCTGCTGTCACCCTCCATCTCAGATGACGCATCACCCAACTAACAATGATACCTTACCTGCCAAGGAAGAGTAGCCTGCTTTACATGGAGTTTGTATGTTTTGCACAGGACTAATGCAAAGTGCTTTCACAGGGTTAGTGATATCTGTGAGCTAATGGCCCTGCAGATTGGAGGGATTCAAATTGGAAGTGTGTCGCTACCACTTCAAGAATGCAGAGCTGGTTGATAATGTGGTTAAATGAGAATCATGTGTACCTCCCCGACTCAGCTTGCATTAGTCTACTGCTTCTTTAAAGTTTGAACTTGATGAATATTTTTAATTTCTACTTTCCTATCTAGGAAAGCATGTAACTTCTAATCATTCTTCCAGAAATGGACTTTATAATAAATAGGAATGTAAATACCACCCAGGCAGCCTCTGCATGATGGAACTCTTTTGGAAAGAAGGGACCCACCTACCCTGTAGCTCTGTTTTTTATTTAACAAAGGAGAAAGTAGTGCTTTCAGAAATTTTTGCATTGGGTAATTGGAATTTAAATTTAATAACACCCTTGCCTAACTGGTTTTAAAATGTAATTGTTTTTAGCATATAAATCTCTCACCTGAAGCATCGTACTATGGCAATTTCATTATCTGTCTCTGCAAGTGTTACTGAGTGCCTGTTCATTCTTGGCTGGTTGACTTTGTGAATCAGGTAGAAACTGAACAGTCAACCTTAGTCTGACTAATAACCAAGCAGAGAAACTCAGGAAAATCTGGCAACTGAGTAAATGGAAGCTTAGGCAAATGTTTTTGGCTAGTTGGCAAATGTTATTGGCCAACTAGCTTGCCAGCCAAGGATGCTCTGTCCAGCTCTATACTATAGATAGCTGTGTCCCTACATGTTGTGGTTAAACCCTACATTTCTTGCTGACAAAAAATATACTTTGGCACCAAGTTTCTTTTTTTAAATAATAATCTTGCCTTACTTGACCTGTCTTCAAATTACCTGGCACTATACAAAATGGTTCTTTGTCAGATGATATTATAGTAGATTGTATATACTGATAGCCATGGGATTTTAGCTGAGCTTTTCCTGGGAAACTTCTTACCAAAAATTTAAAGCATGTATTGTGTAAACCTTCTGGATACCTAATCTTTAACATGGAGACCAACTGGCTTTTTTTATTTTTTCTCTCATGTTATTTTTCTCTTTCAGTGCAAATGATATAATAGCTGTTGGACCTGCACATTTCTATGCCACCAATGACCACTATTTCTCTGATCCTTTCTTGAAGTATTTGGAAACATACTTGAACTTACGCTGGACAAATGTTGTTTACTACAGTCCAGAGGAAGTTAAAGTGGTAGCAGAAGGATTTGATACAGCAAATGGAATCAACATTTCACCTGATAAAAAGTATGATCCCTTATAAAAGTAGCTTCATTTCTTTTCAGTCATGGTCATGGGACAAATGCTTTTTTCATAGTGGAAATAGCTTACTTAATATTTTTGGTCTGTGATATATGTAATATTTATATATAAGTGATATGTTATTAAATATACATAAAATCTTTATATATAATATGTAATTATATGTACTATATATTAATATATAAACATGTTTACATACAATATCATTGTAGAATTTAATTTTATAAATGTAATTTTTAATAAAATGGGATCATACTTATGTATACATTCAAAATATCAGGAAGGTGTTTTCTTTTAAATAAATATATCTTGTTTTATTGGCTGCATATTATTCTAAGGATGATTCTAAACTAATTTAACCAATTCTCTGTTGATGAATATGTAATTTATTTTTTTCTATGTAAAAACCATTTTGTATTTCTCATTTACCCCTGAAATTTATCTAAATATTTTTTTGAGAAAAAACTCCTGAGGGTAGCACGGTAATACAATGGTTAAATCTTCAGATTTTAGAGTCGTACAGGCCTGGGTTCACACGCCAGCTGGACGCTGGCTAAATGTGGTGTTAATTTGCACATTTGTACAAGTGTTTCTGTTGAACAGATCCTCAAAATAGACCTGTTTGCTCAAAGAATGACTCCTTTAAATGTTAACTTTAATAGATATTGCCAAATTGCCCTCCAAAATTACTCACTATTTTTATATATCCAACCACAGCCTATAGAAAAGATGTTAAATTCTCTATTAACTTTCTCTTTTACTGCCTTAGCACACTGAACAGTTTATACTAGTACAAATATAACATGAAATAAATTTGTCATTCCTTGACAACTAAATGTCTTTATTTTCGTGGCACAGTTTCTTCTTTCTTCTTGATTACAGAAAATGAATGTGTAATCATCTAATTTAAATTGTTTATAACTGACCCAATCTAACCTCTCTGGCCAAACCTATTTTTCTTCCCAGCTCTAATCTTTCTGAGAATCAAACTTTCCAATCATTCAAGCTAAAATAATAATAATAATAATAAAGCAGGCTTCAGCTTGAACTCCTTCTCTTTCACTATTCCTATCCAACCTGTGAGCATGTCGCGTTGGTTCTACCTGTGCGTCAATCCTTCACTCTCGCCGCCTTTCCTCTCCATTCATAACTGTCTGGTTTAGTTTCTCATCCTCTCTGGCTAGAATATTACACTTCCTTCCAACTTGTTTTCAGTTTGCTTCCATTTTTTGCTGCTGTTGCCAATTTCGTCTTTGTATATTCCACTGGCCTTTCAGAGCCTCCAAAAGAGGGAGCTGTGTCTGCTTCATCTTTGACTCTTCTTGCTGAGCACTGCCAGGTGCAGAGCAAATGCTGGGTAATTGTTGAATGGAACTGATCACTTGTTATTATGCCTCTTTGTTATTCTAAATATTCAGTGAAACCCAATTGCTTATTAAATCAAGGCAGGCTAAAATTGGACTTTCTTTAATAGGCTAACAACAACCTCCCTTTTCTACCATTTCCATACTTTCCGTGCTTTAGACAAAGAACGTATTATTTTGCAAACATGCCCCTCTCATTCTTGCCCCTGTGCCTTTGCTCACTTGTTTTCTTCTGCCTAAGAGGTCATATTCTCAGATCCAGTCTCCAGTTCCATATCACTGCAGATGCCCCTTCCTTTGTGAACCCTTCTGTCTTCTTAAGAGTTAGATATTTCTTTAGCCTTTAGACCTGAAATAGTTCTTATGGTACCAATCATGCTGCATTATTTGTTGAATGTGTACAAACCAGTCTGATTCTACCGCACTATAAACTTTTCAGGGAAAAGGCTGTGTCTTCTTCATGTTTGTATCTGTCACAATATTGAGTTCATGGCTTTACACATGATAATTGCTCAATAGAACAGTTGCCGTGAAGCAGTCAATTCAATGAGTAAAATTACCATAAAGTAGTCCATTAATTCACCTTTCTTAGATGCAGACAGATTGTTCTGAATAGATACTTAGCTCTTACTTTTCAAATTCTCTGTATGTTAATAAATATTTTACTAAATATTAATGAGATTAATAAATATTCTAGTAAAATGTGTTCTGTACTGTAACATGTAAATAATACCCAGAAATGTCAAATTATATTGTAGAATATAAAAACTTTTTTCTGTACCAAACATGTGTTTATTCAGTAGCAGATATCACAGACTTTATATTCAAAATTTTGTCCTATATTATTTTTCCTTACAAGCCTTTTGAAAAATAATTTAACAATTCCATGATCGTTGTAGCAACACTGAATTGATTTTGAAAGCTTACTTTTTAAAAACAAATTGACCTTTATCAAGCATTCCTTGAGGGCACATCACTGATTAACTTCTTGGTAGGTTATAAAGACTTATTCTTGCATACTGTGTTAATGAAGCTTTACATTGTCATGGAGCTCTAACCAGTGATCCTTTCTGCAAAGGTACATCTATGTTGCTGATATATTGGCTCATGAAATTCATGTTTTGGAAAAGCATCCTAATATGAATTTAACTCAACTGAAGGTAAAATATTTCTTTTTACATATAAAGTAGACATTATTATGCTTTGAAATCACATAGTTATACTATAATATAGCAATTCCTCACTTAGAAAAGAATAGGGTTGCCAATATTGCTATTCTGGGTTTTTAAATATTCGCATCTTATAACTGGCCAAGTCTCCTATTGCTGGCAAGCATGAGAACTGGCTGTGATTAGATGCAGCAGTGGGTTGGGAGTGATATTTGTCTCAGATTTAGATCCCATTCTCTGCAGTACCGATGGCACCTGATGAATTCCAGTAAGAATTTTGACAATTGAAAAGACTAAGATGAATCCTGAAATGAAGATTTATGCACATTGTCAATTCTTTCAATAATAAATAAAGGTGGGAATTGGGTTCCACACCATTATTATTTTCTTCCTGTTTGACAATACATATTTTAGATTAAGACTTTCCCATTTTGCTTTGAATGAGTTCTTTGAGCTAACTGATCATTGTGCATCTTTTAAGGGAAAAGTAATTCATTTTTTAGAGAGATTGATTATCACCCTAACTTTCTTAGTTTTGAGAGAGATAAAAAGTGACTGTGAACCAGTTTATTAAATTTATTTTAAGCAATATTGGTATTAAAGGGGTGGAAGCAGGGAGATGTTTGTAATTCCCCTCCCCATACATAGAGGCAGAGAAGGTTAGCCCTAAATTATTTAATCAAGTTTCTCATGCCATTTAGGTATTGACATTTTTTCATTTGGAAGGTACTCAAATTGGATACACTGGTGGATAATTTATCTATCGATCCTTCCTCGGGGGACATCTTGGTAGGCTGTCATCCTAATGGCCAGAAGCTCTTCATTTATGACCCAAACAATCCTCCTTCATCAGAGGTTTTTATACTTTTAGTTTTTCAGCCTTAATTATTCAAGTCTTTTTGGACTAATAATACAATAAACCGTCACGGGGAATGATTTGTTTCGTTCTTTCAAACCAGTAATACAATAAACTAATGTAGTGGTTTTACAATTGCTTTAAGCCAATAATTGGCAAAATTTCGCATTGTTCAAATACTTTTAGAAAGGTAATCTTTTGATGTATTAAATTATGGTGGCAACTAGTCAAAGGCATTTTTACAAAGACATGTGCCCTCCCTATGTGGTATACTGGCAATTTTTTAAATACCTGGCTTATTGTCAGCTCACCACATGACATTACTTTTGTTCATGCTAGAAGTAGTGTGAAGGTAGGCACATTAGTGTGGAAGTACTTATATTAGCACTCAATTACTATAATAGCCCTAAATCCTGTGTTGGCATGAAATAACTAGATGGTTGAAGAAAGTACTTCCTTTGAAGGTTTAAGAAAATACTTTAATTTAAACATTAAAAAAATTGGTAACTGCTATTTTTCAGCAGCATGTCCTCTTAATCATTGTGTCATTGTGGAAGACGGGGATATTGGTGGTTGAGTCACACAGATGTATGGTGGTTCCATATTAATCCTTTGTATCTCTGATAGGTTCTCCGCATCCAGAATATTCTGTCAGAGAAGCCTACAGTGACTACAGTTTACGCCAACAACGGATCTGTTCTCCAGGGAAGTTCTGTGGCCTCAGTATATGATAGGAAACTGCTCATAGGCACTTTGTACCATAGAGCCCTGTATTGTCAGTTCTAAATTGTGCTTTTGGTATGCAAGTGTGCTAACTTGTCTTAACAATTGATTTTCTATGCATCACTAATTCTGAGGGAATTTAACCAGCAAAGTTGACCCAGAAATGTATGAGACTCGTATAGTTAATTTTACTTCAGTAAGGAACAGTCCCATTAGTTCTTACGGCACTTTTGACATAAAAAGAAAATGAACCATTTTTTTAAATGCCAAGTAAAGAAGAGAGAAGAATACACTTTGCACAAAATAAGCCTTACCTCTTTCTTCCAACTGCCAGAGTATAAATCCTACTGAAACAGGGTAGACCATATCTCCTTAAAATATGCTTGACCTCAGCTCCAACAGTGACCACTGTGACTACTCAGAACTACTGATAGATGACATGTTTGGATGTGTTTTACTTACATCTTTGTTTACTATTTAAAAAGTTGGAGTTATATTAAAGACTAAATTCAAGTTTTGTCTGTGTTTCATTCTCAAGGCATGTCCTCAGGAGGAATAGAAATGTGGCTGCTTCCACGTGTGGTTTCCTTGGGACGGGCAGTCATGACATGGTTAATTTCTCTCATTGAAAGTTGGATATAAATGAGCTCTTTATTTGAATAAAATAAAACAATCAATTAAATATGGCAACTCAAATTCTGAGTATGGAGTGTTCCATTAGCTCTCTTCCTTAATGGGAGCCTACTTTGTATATAAAGAAGAGATAAAAGGTTAGAGTTGGAAGATCAAGGCACCTCCTCATTGAACATAACTATGAACTTCATCAGGAGAGATGAAGTCCAGGGCCACATAGTTAATCCTAGTAACGCTAGGTTCAAGGCCAACAGTGCCTGACTCACAAAAGATAGTTCTTTCCGCTCACTATACCTCCTTTAAAATCATCTTAAGCCCTGGAGAGAGATTTTCATGTGTTTCTTTCTACTGTGCCTTATCAAAGCACTTTACTTCTCATACTTGTCCTCATCTTCAGCATCATTATCATTAAAATATTTGTCAATTACCATGTGGCAGACAATGCACTAAAAATAGTCCATTATTATCTCATTTAATCCTAATTACAGTCACAAGGGAGTAGGTATTGTTATTATATCACTGTTAACATTTCACAGATGTTCAGAGTCACCCACCTAGTCAGGGGTGGCTCTCAATCTATTTCTGATGCCATAGGCTGCGCTATCACCATCACTCACTCTACGTGAAGCTACTGCCATGGAACTAATGAGGATCTTGTTATTTACTCTTTTTCTAATGTAAAGTTTCTTCTGTTTATATATCAGTTTGATTGCTGATTTTGGACAAATAGTTTAAATGGTTTTTAAATGTAAATTGCAGAAGTATTCTTAAACTTGGCCTCCGTTCACTTGACTTGTGTTTTTATTTATGTTTTTGAATAGTCTGTTATGAACATATTTTGGAACTATTTCATGCTAAAATAATTGCTGTTTTTTTGCTCTTTCCATTGTCCAGAGGAAAAATGTTAAGCCATAGATGAATAAAGCAAGATTAAAAATTGTTCACTAGGGATCCAAAATCAAGAAACGTGTTTTAAATTTTAAATTATAATAATGACTATCTTAAAAGCTACATCTATAAAAAGTATCAGACTACAGTAGGAATAAAATAAACTTGTTTTCCATTGTGCTTATTAGAAATGTTATTCGGACAAAAGTAAATATGTTATTAAGTACATGTATTACTTATCTTAGAAATTCAAAACAATTTTGTTAAATAAACTCTGCCCTCTCTTTTGCCTCTGTGGGCCATGAGGGATTCTATTTGATCTAATCATAAGTATATTGTGCATTTATTTATGGTGCTCTTACTGTGATTATGTATTGAGTTCAACCATTTGATTAGTTATTAAGAGGTCAAGTTATTCAAAAGGACTAAAATTACAATTGGGATATGCCACCACTAGATGGGTATAAGTCTCATAGAGGGAGGGGTATGTGTGCGTGTGTGTGTGTGTGTGTGTGTGTGTGTGTGTGTGTGTGTGTGAATTTTAACCTGAGATCCTGTTCAATGACAATAAATATCCTTTTGGTGTTTTACAAAACCTCAGCTTCTTTACAACAGCTAAATGTGAACACAAATACCTAATACAAGGAACAAGGAAAATGAAATGTAAGCTCTAATACAGTAATTGTTTCTCATTTTGTATATTGATTAGTTACTAATGATAACTAATTTAAAGCTGATCCTTTTTCTAGGGTTTGATTTGCTCAGTTTGAACCCTTTCTTGTAGTCATAACCTACCTACGCTGGGGAATGTCTACTTGGCAAAGTAATGAAGAATGAATAATACCCACAACCACACTACCCGCATTTACTTTTCTTTGGCTACTTGTAATTTTCATTACTCACTTGGCTTTCCATGAAAGGATTTCTGGATGTGAGAGAAGGAGGCTCGAGAGAATCCCAGTGGCTGTCGCATGATTTTTAAGATTTTTATTCGATAAAAAGAGAAGAAAAGAGTCTAGTCTAATTTTTATAGTTGTGAAGAGAATAACTCAGTTTACTTTAAAATTTTTCAATATATCGAATTGCTTTTCCGTAGTCATTCCTGAGCTAGGCATTAGAATACAAGAGTAAATCAGACGCAAAGCCTGTATTGTAATGGGAGATTTAACAAATGAGAAAATAGATGATGATGATTAAATAGATAAATTAGATAGCTACATATTTGATTGATTGATGATAGATGATAGATAGATAGGTAGATAGATAATAGACAGCCGGATGAGCGATAAATGGAGTGATTAGAAAGAACTAAATAAAGAGGCGTGATTAAAGAATAATTCGGAGAAACGTACTCCCTCCCCATCACATGCAACTTTTGAAAAATTTAAACTTACAGAAAAGTTGAAAAACTAATTCAATGACTGCCTGAATATCCTTCACTTATATTCACCAATCACCAGTTTTCATTTTGCAATGTCTTCTTTATCTTTCCAAATTAGATGCTTTTATTTTTCTGAGCCATCTGAAAACAAGTTGGAAATACTGTAAAACTTCACCTCTGCATACTTCAGCTTGCATCCTCTAAATATAAGGACATTCTCCTACATAACCACAGGGTTATCTTAACACCCAGGTGTTAGGTCCAGGACGGCCCTCTCCCTTACCCCACGTTATTGTGGGAACCAGATCTTGTAACGTCAGGGTTGGCAATGCTACGTGCTCACTGGACTTTTCTCCCTTCCCCGCCCATTTGTCGGCCCGAAATATTCCCACCTTTGAAAAAGCCCACCTCAAGCCCCATAAAAATTTCAGGTCTTCTCGCATTTGGGGCTGACACCATCTCCGGCTCAGCCAGGCTGTCAGCCACTCTGCTTCAATAAACCTTGCTTAACCCCATTCTGCCTTGTGCTTTCCTACTTCTGTGAACCAAACACCATGGGCATTAGCCATGCTTCTACCGTGCTATCTAATATCTGATCCAAAGTCAAATGTTCTCAGTTGTCTCAAATGCCTTTAATAGTTTCTTTCTTCTTCCACCCCCACCCCTTCCCTAATCCAAAATCCAATTTACATTTGTTATGTCCTTTCACTCCTTTTTAATCTGAAACAGTGGCTCTATTCTTCTTCTTCTTTTTTTTTTTCATGGCACTTTCAGTGCAAGCAAGATGTCTTCTGGAATGACCTAGATTCTAAATTTACTTGATAGTTTTTTTCCTGGAGTATTTAATTCGGTATCACTTATTTTCTTGTAAATTGGAAGTTACTTGAGGCTTGATTAGATTCAGGTTAAACAATTGACAAGAATAATTAATAAATGACCTATACTTCACATTGTATTGCATCAGAATAGGTAATTCCACTATTTATGATGGTAAATGTGAATAACTGATTAAGATGGTGACCACAAAATTAATAGGGTTAATTTTTCCTTTCTTTCTATAAATCCAAGTGAATATTCTGTCCCTAAAACCTTTCGCCTATTTGGTTTTAGCATCTATTAACGATTCTGGCCTGAATTATTATTATATTGGAGTTGCATAATGGAAATTTTTCTATTATTTCTAGTATTAATATTGGTATGCTCTATTCTATTAAAAAATTTTTCTCTGCTCTTGATTTTTCCTTCTCACTCTTCTACATTCTTTCTTTTTTTCTTGGAAATCGTTTATTATCAGATTATAGAGAGCTATCTTTTATTTTTTTTGATTTTTTTTTCACAGATTTCTACCTTAATTTCTATCTCTGAAACCAGGATAATACTCATTTTGTAGGGATTTATTTAAATGATCTAATAAAACTGAAAACCTCTATCACATTCTCTTTCCCAGTGACTTAAAACCCTACATGGATCAATCCTGCAACATACAACTTCTTAGTGCCTAGACTCCTTCATTCACAATGCCCTTTTCCTCAGCTCTGCCTCAGCCACCCATTCCCAGGGCTATAGTCTATATCAGAAACTTCCTCACCTTGGAAACCTATATTACAAGTCTCGGACTCACTAACAACCACAACCTGCATTCTCAAGTCACTTGCTCAAGTAGCGCCATCGTTCTAAAATTTCTGAAATTGTTCCAGCCTCAAATCCATTAACAACCCCTGGCCCAGAACTTTCTCACCCTCCTACAATCCCCTCTCTGTATAACCTCCCTCCTTGTCCAGTTTAGCTTCCTTCCCTTACTCACTTCCTTGAACGTACTCTCGACCTCTTTTGTACTTCTCTCCCTCCTATTGTCTTACGTGGAAAAACTCAAAAATTTATTTTCGTTATACCCGCACCTGAGCAGCTATATGTTGCTTCATAAAATCACACAATAGCTGAATGGTTTCTCTTTAAACTAATGTCAAATCTCAGATTTGTTACTCTAGATGCCAGTAATCCTGCTCAGTTTCTTTAGCAGATTAGCTTTTCTATTCCCCAAGTTAATAATTACATACCTTCTCCTTCCCCTCAAAATCTCCACAATCCTCATCTACTCAGACATTTACCTGAAGGCCTTGTCTCATAATTCGTTGAGAAAATAGAGGCAATTAGACATGCTGTACCTCATATTTCCTCACTAAACCTACAACTCTCACTGTATTTGCACCTATCTTCTCCTCACTCTACTGTTAAAGTGGACTAGGTGTCCTTGCTATAGAAGTTAATCCTTCTAGTTGTTCTTAGGATTTCACGTTTTCTGTTATCCCTTCTCTCTTCCACTTTATCGAACTCTCTGTACTGATTCATTTTCATCAGTACAAAGATATACTAATTGCATCTCCCATTTTATCTATCTATCTACCTATCTATCTATCTATCTATCTATCTATCTATCTATCTATCTATCTATCTATTTATTTATTTATTGCATCTCCCATTTAAAAAACAACACTCCCTTGACCCTACATTTCTAACCACTGCATCATTTCTCTGACTCTAACTGGTATGTCCACAAAGTTGACACTTCTTCCTTCCAAAGGTGAGCCTAATCCACTACTCCTTT